CTATAGACTGCAGCCTGCCCTGCATGAGCATCTGCCCTGCCAAGAATATGCCAACCTCCATTCCTGGTTCTCGGCTGGGTCTCACAAGGGGCAATCTCTCTCCATCTGAACCATGCCCCTGCTTCCTACACTTCCCAGAGCCAACCTCCGATATCTTGTATTTGCAGCTATGCTGGGGAGCATTTCTAGAGCTTTCCTCTAGCCTGGGCCCTGCTCCAATATGTTCCCACTGTGAGCCTCTGCCTCAGAGCACTCAGCATGTGGAAACAGCCCCATTATCAGTGTGATCACTGGCTGACTGACACTGTGAGCATGGAAAACTGGTCATTTTCAGTTTGTCACAAGCCTCACATTGTGCCTAGCACATTAAGAAATTAATTAAAGCTGGGTATACACCTTTGATCCCAGCACTTGGGAGGCAGAGGCAGGTGGATCTCTATGAGTTCCAAGCCAGCCTGATTTACATAATGAGTCCAAGACCAGCCATGGCTGCTCAGACAAACCCTGTCGATAACAACAACAACAACAATAATATCTGTGGAATGAATGGATAATGAATCTTAACATTAGACTATTGTAGTACATGTATGTATGCATGCACATACACACATATATGTGCTCAATTGATAGAATGCTTATCTAGCATGCAGGAGATACTGGGTTTAAACCACAGCACTACATCAAGTAAATATGGCAGCGCATGCCTGTAATTCTAGCACTCAAGAGGTAGAGGCAAGAGGATCATGAATTCAATCCTTGATGGACATGTTGGGAATTCATATAGCCAGTGAGGGCTACATGAGACCCTAGTTCAAAATAATAGTAGCACTAATGTCCTGAAAAGGTAAAGGCAACTTTTAAAATAAAGCAACAAGCCGGGCAGTAGTGACACATGCTTTAATCCTAGCACTAGGGAGACAAAGACAGGCAAATCTCTGTGAGTTTGAGGCCAGCCTGGTTAACAGAGTGAGTTCCAGGACAGCCAAGGCTACACAGAGAAACCCTGTCTCCGAAAAGCCAAAAAATGAAAATAAATTAATAAATAAATCAATGAGTTTTTTTATTTTTGGCTTTAGAAGTAGGTAGGGCTTTAGTCTTTACTCCAGGCTATCTTTAGACTCACTATGTATGTAGCCCAGGCTGGCCTGATATCTCCTGGAGTGATGGCATTACAGGCTTGTACCACCATGCCTGGTTTAATGAAAAAAAAAATTATATATATATATGTATGTATCTGATACTTTTAAGAATATCAGAATGATCTGGATTCAATTATAAATTGGTCACTATAATTAGTCGATTACATTTCAGACCCTGCTGGAATTAATACTCTTGGGTTCTGAGACTCCACCACAGTCATTGCTCAACCACTGAGACACTTGGGGAAAATGAGAAGCAGGTGCTTCTTCATCTAGGCATCTCAGTCCCAGGCTAAAGCTGGGTGATCGGGGTTTAAAATAGGCTAAATAGCTGCCTTCCTGCCTGGGCCAGAGCCCCTGTGCTCTGAGCAACCTGAACAGCTTCAGAGAGGAGAGTCTCTGAAGGTCCTGTGAGGTAGTAAGTGAAGCAACAGTACTCATGAACAACAGAAGGTGATGTGTGCTCATGCTTGTGGTGGGGGTGTATGTTGGAGGAAAGTATTTTTTGTGTGTACGTGTTCATGTCTCTGTGTGTGTCGGCACATGGTGTTTCTGTGCACACGAAAGCCAGAGGTCTATGTGAGGTTGTCTTGTTCAGTCACTCTCAATTTTAGTTTTCGAGACAGTCTGTCATTGAATCTAGGGCTTGCTGAGTAGGCTAGAAACACTGACCAGCAAGAGCCAGGAATCCTCTGTCCTCGCTTCCACAGTGCTGAGATGACAGGCTTGCTGCTGTGCCTGCCTTTTTGCCCCTGGGTTCTGGGGAATCAAACCTGGGTCCTCACAGCTACAGGGCAAGCCCTTTGGCTCATAATCTTTTTGTTGCGAAAGATATTCTATTTCCAACCATATGAAACATTTTTCAGCAAAACAGAATGAATATATCAAATCATAACTAATTTACTTATCCATCTTTATGACTCACAGGCAAATAATTTAGTAGTCGCTAAAATGATGTTCTAGAAATTATTTCATTGTCTTACACACCCAATGAGGGTTGGCCGGTCGACAAGATAGCGGGCCTGCAAACTGAGACAACATTCCTATCAAAGGCAGGAAGTGTTTTCATTACTCTGAACAACTCTACAATAGTTAGGAAAGTCTCCCATTCAGGGAGTTTAAGGTTCGGGGGCCATGGCAGCAAAGCTCTGAAACTTCTAATGGTTTAGTACTCTGGATGGGGCTTAGCCCCTGATGGGATCTGGTGAACAGCTGGTTTTATTGGTTGGACTCTACTGATAACCATTCAGGGCCTTTTCCTCTGGGGAAATCACACATCATAAAGCAGGGAGGGACTCTGATGAGGTCCACAGGAAGAACTAGTATCCAACATGGCGCCTGCCTCTTCCGGAAGACATTCCCGGCAATGCTTTCTTCTTGTCCTTAAACTCAACGTCTGGATAGTCATATGACCAGCCCTCAGGCATTATGGCTGTAGGAGCCCTTTAAACACAGTTTTTGAAGATTCCCAAAAACACTTTAATCAACGTTTAATCATATGAAAACGTAAAGCCAAGAGCAAATTAAATACTTACAACATTTTAATAATAAATGTGCTAGATGAGATTCTACTTCACGTGTCTGCAAATCAACCTGATGTCTGACTAAAATGGAAGGCAGCTGCTTCTCCATGGAGAGAGACATGTGGCTACCATGCAGCCCCCAGTGAACTGCCCCGTTCATTCCTGAGCAACTAAAGTATAAAAGCAAGCAGTTAGGTTGGGTAGGATGGCACAGAGGGTAAGGGCCCTTGTCTCACAGCCTGAAAGTCTTGAGTTACCTAAATTCCATCCCAGCAGCCCACAGCAACAGAAGAACCCCGTTCCCAAGGGTTCCCCTCTAACCTCCACACTTGCACCATGACACATGTGTCCATACATCCAATAATAATAAATAATGTTTAATAAAACACAGGCTAGAGAGATGGGCCAGATGGGATCCCCAATCCCAGGGAGAAAATCTATTGCCCTCTTCTGGCCTCTTCCAGCCTCTTCCACACAGACATAATGCAGGCAAACACCCACATATGTAAAATACAAATAAGGGGAAAAAAGGAAAGCAAGTAATATCTTAGTATTGTATAGAATAATCTTGACCTTCTGAATTCCTTATACTCAGGGGTCCCTGGGCCACGTTTGGGGAACCTACCTCCTGGGGCATCGTTAATGACAGCTGTCATTCTCTAGATCCAAAATCAACTTAATTTTGTTTGTTTATTGAGACAGTTTCTTGTGCCTCAGGATATCCTCAAGCTCATGATCCTCCTACCTCTACCTCCTTCACGTTGAGATTACAAACCTGTGCCACCACCCCCAGTTTATTTGTGTATTCATTTTACCCTGTCCCCTTGTAAACCGGAGGCGGGACACAGGACACACACAACTTGGATGAGTCAGTTCCCTCCTCCTTTGTGGGACCTAGGCATAGGGATATGAACTTAGGTTGCTAGGATGGACAAGTAGAATGCCTTTACCCACTGAGTCACCTCGCGGGTTATTTCCTGGCTTTTAAAGACAGTTTTAAACCCCACGGTCCAGGCTGGCCTTGACCTGCCAAGTGCGGGATTTCCGGCAAGTACCGCCATGACCCCTGCACATCTTCACATCTCTGGCGGAATCTGGCAGAGGCTATTGATGCAGCTCAGATCGCTTCTCAGATCCACGCTCTTTGGTAGTTACCAAACCCCATTGCTGGTGCTGCCGCTACGCTTAGTACTCAATGTGGTTTAAAAGCAAACCGGAGGGGCCAGGATGTAGTGCTTGTCTTTCATTCAGGAGGCTCTGGTTTTGATCCCTAACTCCCCAGAGCCTGGGGCGGGGGTGGGGGGGCAGCCTGGGAAGGTGGGAGAAGCCTGAATGCTATATATAGGCTTTGCTATCTTGATGGGTGCTTCATCACCTCGGTTTCCTTGGTAAGGTGGAGCGTTTGACTTTGTGTATTTGAAAGCATGATAAAGTCTACATAAGCTTCTTCAAGCTTCCCACGAGGGCCAGGGCAACCAGCCAGCAAAAGGGTGAGAGTTCTTTGTGGGTGTGACTGAGGACTCATTCTTTCTAGGCAAAGCTGACAAGCTGCACGTGGGTGGTGCCCTACGCTATCTGCCCAGGCCAGGCCGGGAGCACAGCCACTCGGCCGCAGGACAGGCCCCAGACGCCATTTGTGTAGCCCCCCCCCCCCCACTTGTGGAATGCACGCAGGCTTTATATCAAATCCACATGGTGCGCCGGAGCAGCACGAAAGAGCTTGACCAAGCGGACAGCGCACCCAGGCCCTGCAGGCAATGGGGAGGTTGGAGCGAGCCAAGAGGTCACGCGGTCCCACTCCTCATCTGGGGCCTCTGGGTGACACCCTGGGTTACAGGAAATTGGATTCCTGGGGCGCCCTGCGTTCCCAGCCCCGACCTCTGGACTCTGAAACGAGCCCCAACTAAGAGAGCAGAAGCTTTGCCAAGACGTAGCCCGAACCCACGCACACAGATGCAGCCGCTGTCTGCTGAACTCTGGGGCGGGGTAGCACAGTTTCCCTGTGCTTTCCGGCTCGCCGTCGGCAGAGCCCCTAAGGCGCGCACGCAGGGTACTACCCAACTCTGGCCATTGCGCTGCGGGGTCCTGGGACCTGTCCCAGATGGAAGGCTCGGGACAAAGGCGAGAGGCACGGGGAACCGAGAGAAAAAACTCCACCCGAGGTCTCCGGGTCCGTGCAGGGCGCACGCGGAGATGGGTGGATCCGAAAGCTGACGCCACCCCACACTTCGCGTGCTCCGGGAGTGACAGTGACAGAGAGGCGCTCAGACCCGGCGGAGCAGCTAGATCGGCGCCCCCAGCATGCCCTGGCCTTCCTCCCCACCCAGCCCCAACTCACATAGACCGACGTGATGTCCGAGCGATCGTAGAAGCTCAACTCTCCGATCAGTTCCAGGGAGGGGGACACCACGTCGTCGCCGGCCTCCAGCTCTAGGTCCCCCTGCTCGGGGCCGAAGGGGAAGAGCTCCTGGCGACTCAGGCAACCTCCGGACCCCGCCAGCAGCAGCTGCAGGAGCAGCGCCCACGTCCACGCCGGCCGGCTCCGACCGCTCGCGTCCAGCATGTTTCCCAACTGTGGACCCGCAACCCCGGCGGCTCCGCAGCTCAGGCGGAGGGGGCGGGGACGTAACCCGACGCCCCTCGGCAGTCCCTCCTCACCTCCCGCCTCCCGGCGTCCCCACCCCGGGAAATGGGGAGGGGAGTCGAGGGGCTATCGGGAGGGCACGCCCGTCCCATCCTCCAATGGCTACGAGTTTGGAGGGGGGGGGGGGAGAGGGGCAACACCGAGGTCCCCAGCGCAGCCGTGGGCGTTGGTTTCCTGCATTCCCGATCCAACCAAACGGTGGGCTTCCATCCAGAAGGAAGGAATCTGCCACTGGTCTGCAGTTAGGCTAATTCCTGGAGAGCGGGCGACTAGGAAAGGGACGCTCTGGGGCCTGGGACAGAGCCCACCCTGATAGGGAGACTGGGCGGGTGCTGGGATTGAGCAAAGGGCTTTTACTTATCCAATCATTAATTAAGCACTTATTCAGTTCCCGATTCTGAGTTCCTCAGGTTATAGGATCCCACAGGAAACAGGAACCCACTCCTGCCAGACAGTCACAAGCGTGGGACACGATTCAAAGTCAGATTTGCTGGGGCCTCAAGCAGTAAAAACACACTGGGACTGGAGAACTAGGCCAGAGAAAACTTCCATGTGGCATGCTGGGAATCTAAGCAAGTTTCTGGAAGTAACGCAGAGAAAGGTGGCTGTGGGAGGTGGGAGGCAGGAGCGAGTGGGTTCCGGGGACCTGATCGGGCTTTCCCCGCAAAGAATTTGGGAGGGAAGATCCAAGTAAAGGTCGGATAATAAATTCGACAATATGAGCTCCCCTAAGACTCAGAGAACTGGAGACAGTCCTCGATAAGGAGGCATGAGCCTTTTAAGTGAGATTTCAAATCAGCTGTGATAATCTGACCCTTGACTCAGAGGGGTCAACAGGATGCTCCCCGCTTCCTCCCAGCAACTGAAAGTACAGGCCTGGAACCTCCATTCGTTCTTCCGGTATACAGAAAATAGTTGAGCTAGTGGAGAACCAGCAAAATCACGAAGAAAGAGACAAATGGAATACAGCTCCTGAGCATAACGTCACTGGTCTCTGGGGGATGGCCTTCCGTTTAAACTCTCGAGTGGTCAGCAGTAAGAGGTACCGAGGGTTTGGTAGACCCCGGTGTTCTGTGGGCAGTATGGCCTCTTGGGTTCACAATGAGAGGTCCTCCTGCTGGCGTGGCCAACAGCTACCTAGCTCTCCAGTTCTGCTTATGCACAGAGAGAGAGAGCGCACATGCTAGGCAAACACTGTGGCCAGTCTCTTGTTTTGTTTTGAGACATGGTCTTCACTATATAGTCCAAGCTGGCCTTAGTTCATGGCAGCCTACTAGCTTCAGACTCCTGAGTGCTGGGGTTAGAATACCCAGCTGGTGATTAGTTTATTTGCTTAGTTGCAGTGTGGGGACTCGAACCCAGGGCTTTACACGTGGCAAGCCCCCTCAACCACTTGAACTTGAAACTTCTACACTAAGTTATCTGTGCTACTGTATTATCCCTCTCACTAAAGTCTGCTGCAGCTCCCTGATCTCTTCCATACGTCCAGATGTACTTCCTTGCTTCCTGCTAACCCCATGCCAGCTATGTGTTGGCTGCCTCATGTCTGGGATTCCTAGGACTTAGGTTGTTTTAGCCACTGAAAACTTTGTACAGAGGCCTGGGCTCATTTGCACAGAGTGCCCACAGACCCCCTCCAGCACTGAGACCCAGGAGAGGCCAAGAAACTGAGCTCAACCGCTTTCCCCCCCTGCAACCTTTCTTTTTCCTTCAACCCCCATCCCAGGCTTGTTACACATCAGTGCTGTCCTGAAGCCCTAGCAGGGGCCTGGAATGCGCTGATCCCTCTCACAGTTTCTCTCCCTTTTTGGTACTCAGACAGCTGCTGGAACTCCCATTGGCCGGCCCAATTCTTCCTGGTGACTGCAGGAGCGGAGCCTGCCGCCTCCTCCTCCACCCCCCACCCCCCCCACCCCCCATTTACTAGCTGCACAAGCATGGCAAGTTCGCAGTTTCTGTATCCCTATCATTTGACTGGGATATTCACAGGGACAATCAAGGAATTGTTATGAGGGTTAGATAAGGTGACCCCCGAAATTAGACAGAGCACATAATCCAGTTAACTCCAAGCCCGGGTTATTATCTGAGCAAGTTGTTTGTGCGATGCTGATTATCTCAACATCTCCTGAGAAGATTCCGTGTGAGTCAGATACCACGGCCACGAATACATAATCCCTTTTGTGAGAAGCTGGCAATATCCCAGGGAGAAAGGCAAGATAATGGCCCAGTAAATACACAGAGAGGGAGGTGAGATGCTGCTTGAGAGATTGTTTTTCTCTTCTTCTACTTGGTGCTCTCTGGATCCTAGTGCTGGAACAGCCACACAGCCATGAGGCCCACAGTAGATTCTGGAAGCCACATTTGTAGGGGGAACATAGCTTACCCAGTCTCACACAGCTAGTGAAAAGGCAAGGGTTCAAACCTTGCTTTGTCTGACCCCAAAACTGATATGCCATCTTGCCTTTCCACAGAAGGTAAGGTTTCTTCAACCTAAACAGAGCCCTCGGTCTTTACACAGGAGGTGCATTTGGCCTGGTGTTTATAGCTGAGAGCCACACTCTGTTTATGTGTGTTTATGGTCCCTTACTTCATCAGCCTGTACTGTAAACTGGCTGTCACTATTTATAGCCCTGCACTCACTTCACGGTGCCCAGTCCCTGGGAGATGTGATTCTGTTGCTGGGTCTCCCACCAGGACACTGTGGGCTGTGTCCCTGCTCCTTGAGGAATTATGCTTCCAGATATTACTTATAATGTGCATCATAGAAACTTTGCTTCAGCCGGGCATGGTGGCACATGCCTGTAATCCCAGCACTCTGGGGAAGCAGAAGCAGGCAGAGCTCTGTGAGTTCAAGGCCAGCCTAGTCTACAGAGTGAGTCTAGGACAGCCAGGGATACACAGAGAAACCCTGTCTTGAAAACAAACAAACAAACAAACAAACAAAACGCCAAACTGCACTTCAAAAACTGTGCTCTGAACACTTTCCAAATATATATATAAAGGCCAGGTGTAGCAGTACACACCTGTAATTCTAACGTTTGGGAGACAGGAGGCTCAGGAGCTCAAGGTCATCCTCAACTGAACAGTGTTCAGAGCCAGCTTGGGCCAAAACAGCAAAACAGTTTATAATAATGTGTTTCTTTTTCTCTAGTTGTCTTGTGATTTTTTCTCTCTCTCTTTGAAGCAAGGATCTATGTGTCCTAGCCCTAGCACACACTGTGTACACATGAAAAGAGTTAACTGTTTAACTGTTTAAGACCCCAATAGGCCAAATATGATGACACAGACCTTTACTCCAGCACTTGGGGGGGGGGTAAAGGACAGGGCAGGACTTCAAGGTCATTCTTGACAACATAGAAAGGTCTGAAGCCGTCTTAGGCTAGATGAAACCCTGGCTCAACAAACAAAACAAAGGTTCAAGAGGTGGATTACCAGGTTAAAGGGTCCCCCCCCCAAGTATGAACATGGAGAGTTAGGAGCTCCAGAACCCACATGGAGGTCAGCCGGATGAGGTGGCCTGCCTGGAATTCTAGCCTCTGAAGAGTGAGACAGAGGTTCCCCAGAGAAGGCTGTCTAGTAAGACTTGCCAGATCCATGAACTCTGGATTTGATTAAGAGACCCTGCCTTAAAAAAATAGGGTGAAAGAATAATTAAGGATGATTCCTGATATTAATCTTCGGAATTAAGATGTATGTGATGTAAGCATACATACATGTGCCCATATTCACATGCTCCCACACATGTAAAATATTCATACACACACACACACACACACACAAATGGAAACAAGGGGGTAAAGGAAGCTTTAATAATACCATTTTATTTATTCTGAAGCGTGATCTTGTTATATAGCTCTGGCTGACCTATCTGATACTCACGTAGCCCAGGCTAGCCTCAAACTCATAGCAATTATCCCTGCTTTCCAGGGATTTACAGGCATATGTCCCCACTGCAGGTATCAATAATGCTTTTAAGGAGTAATTGGATAACTTCAGTAGCAACAACTGGACCCATAATTTCATAATACAACCATTTTTTAGAATGTGGGCTACAGGAGACAGCTCCATGGTTGAGTGTGCACTTAGCATAAGCAAGGGCCTTAGTTGATCTCCAATGTTGCAAACGTTTCTTTTTAAATTTTTAAGTTAAAAAAAAAATGGGCATGGTGGCCTGTACTTGTGATTCCAGCACTATGGAATGGGGTAGGGTCCTAGAAAGGAAGATCTTGGTTGTTTGTACTTGACAATTTCCAGGCCACTGAGAGACTCTATCTCAAAAAGCAAGATGGAAGCTGGAGAGATAATTCATCAGTTAAGAGTGTCCATTGTTCTTGCAGAGGATCTGAGTTTGATTACCAGCATCCACATCTGGCAGCTGACAATTGTCTGAAACCCTCCAGGAGATATAATTCTGTCCATGTCTAGCTGTTGTTTACAAGATCTCAGTGGACTCAAAGAGTCCTTTAGTTTTACGTAAACTTGATGAAGGCTGGAGTCATCAGAGAGCAGGAAGCCTCAGTTGAGAAAATGCCTTCATAAAATTGGTCTGTGCACACTAAACCTGTTAGAAGAAAAAGTGGAGAAGAGCCTTGACCTCATTGGCACAGGAGACAACTTCCTAAACAGAACACCAACAGCACAGGCTCTAAGACCAACAATCAAAAAATGGGACCTCATGAAACTGAAAAGCTTCTGTAAAGCAAAGGACACTGTCGTCAGAATAAAACAAGAACCTACAGACTGGGAAAGGATCTTCACCAACCCTATATCTGACAGAGGGCTAATATCCAGAATATATACAGAACCCAAGAAGTTAGACACCAACAAACCAAGCAATCCAATTAAAAAATGGGGTACAGAGCTAAACAGAATTCCGAACAGAGGAATATCAAATGGCAGAGAAACGCTTGAAGAAATGCTCAACATCCTTAGTCATCGGAGAAATGCAAACCAAA